TGAGGCTGGCACCTCCTTGAGGAATTCACGGTGTTGTGGCTGGCTGGCTTGGGGACTAGGGTTCCGTCTGGGGAGGTTTTCTGTCTAGAGGGTGTAGCTAATAAACACAGTAGAACTGAATTTGCATTGTCTCTTGGAGTTCTTTGGGCTAAACCTGACATAACCAGTGTGTATATTCATAATTCTTAATCCCTGTTGCACGCAACATGCTGTGTGCTAAAGCGTCAAATCCAGTTCAAGGTATAACGTGGAGGCAGCGGCATCTGCAGCAGGGACCTACGTAAAAAGGGCACAAGGCTTTGACATAAGGTTGCAGCTGCCATCTTGACTTTTTTGACAACCTCTTGTGGACACCCCTGTTTGGTATGGAGTCAAGTCATGCAGAAGTCCTTTTTTAAAATGAAGTAAGTGAGCTGAAACTAGGATGGGAAACCAGATTCACCAGAAAGGCAGATTACAAGTATATCATATAAATAGTTAATGGATCGCTTTCAAATTCAGCCCATAGCAGAGCCTTCCCCACCCAGGCGCCTTCAATGTGAAGGACTACAACTCCCATCACTCTCCAAAGCCAGTGGGGATGATGAGGATTGTAGCTTCACCTTATCAAGGGCACCAGATTAGAGAAGATTCCCACAGAAGATCCAAGGACATTTGACAAAGCTGTTTAAAGAATGAAATTGTTTACCTGGTAATGTTGATTCTGAATCAAGTTGTCCGCATGACGTTCCTGAAATGAAAAATGGAATCCATATATAGAGATGAAACACGCAGCCATTAGATTTTCAGTTCTCTCACTATAAAAAGCTGCTTATGAATAATAATTAAAAAAAAACTGTACTGCTGTCTTAGAACGGGTCATCTTGTGGAGATAAACTGCTTTTGAACCCGTCTGTGTGCACTCTCTCTTCTTCCCAAGTCACCAGATGCATCTTGTGGTGATGAATTCCATAGCCAGATAATCTGTACATTACTAGCACTTACAATCTATTAGCAAAGAGCTACAATCTAATAGATAAATAAGATTCATATTGATAATGCTCTTAACCCTTGCACTTCCCCTCACACTGGTCCAATGAACTCATAACCATAGATTCCTCCCCATCATCCTGGGATTCTGTATTGGGAATGGGTGTTCCTCTTCCATAACTTCACCCATCTTGGCTATCCATTTCCCACTTCCGTTCCCTGCCTTCAGCACACATGATGTACTTCCACATGACATCAGTTCTGATTGCCGTCAACATTCGTGAGATTTATGTCTGAACCACTTTTAACTTGTAATTCCCCTTTTGGCTCAAATGGGAAACCTGGTTAGCCTTCATGCTAGTTAGTACAGGTGGAAGTATAACTTTAAACCTCTTTCAACAGAGAAGGGAGCTTTTGTACAAGTGAAAAGAAGATGATGATGAAAGAAGGAAACATTCCTAATTGGCCAACCAAGGTTTTTAGAGAACCATTGTGATCTCTGCTTTGGGTCATGAATGCCATTCTGAAATCTGCTTTGCAAGCTTTATTCTCAGGATGGTGTGACAATTTCTGTTAAATATTTCTTGTCTGGAATTTCTGAGCTGACTTTCAGGTTAGAACTGGTGGATAAGGCTACTATTGCTGTTGTATCCTGCACCATGTGATCCTTGCTGTTCACACTTCTTAATCTCTCTCTCACACACACACACACACACCAGGAGAAGTTCCCTTGGTTTGAATGGACTCATCAGGAAAATGTCTGGAGAGGGAACCATTGAAAGAAAGACAGGATGTGACTCACACCCTTGACCACCATGCATTAAATAAGTGCAGGAGTATCACACCCACCCAGCAACATTCTTTTCTCCTTGGAAAGACATTTCAAAAGCAAATTCACTGTCATCAAATTGAATGAAGTTGGTTGGAAGAAAATGCAGAATTTTCCAGGATGGCACTAGTTAAAGTCAGATCTCCTGACTCTGCATTTCATGTGATGAGGCAGAGGAAAGGAGTCAAGCTGCTGAGCTGGCAGGACCAAAGTAGTTATGCATGATCGTTCAGTGGCTTTGCAAGCTTATGGAAATAAGCTATCAATTACAGATCTGAGTTCTTGTAAATTAGACCCTGAGATCATCTGGCAGGAGGTAGTAAGGGAGCAAAGTAATGAATTAAATGAACTGCTTAGGCGTAGTACACTCCAAATGCTTTTGATTTCCTCTGTATGATATGTACTTTGATAATGAAAAGCAACCCATTTATGCTCACCTCAGCATCACTTCGTTGTCCCCTAAGATTAGGGTACTGGACTTCTTTGATGGCATTGCTGCAATCACTGCCAGTTGATTAAGCTTCTCTGATGCTCTGTTGGACTAAGAAGCCTAGTGCCAAGCATCAGAACGCCAAGTGGGAACTGAAGATATTAGAATACCAAGTCCTACAGGCCCTGAACTTCACAACCGTGCCCACGTTTTGTCATGGAGAATTTCAAATAGTTTGAGAGTGGCTTTTTATGATGAAAACAGGCAGATGTTTATGTCAACCTATCTAGCCTATTTGGGTTTCCATATGTGGCAAGGAGAAGGAGAAGATGGAGACCTAGGATCAAGAAGGATCCTAATGCCTTCCATTCTCCTTTGATTACTGGCCATCTGATCTTGGACTGATGGGAACTGGGTCCAACGAAGATGGCAGGCCAGAGATTCACCCTGCCTTCCAAAAGCAAGAATGGGAGAGCAATCCCTGGAGTTAGTGAAAGCCACCCTGCTCCTCACCGTGAAAGTCTTCAGGTTCTCATGCTTTTGTTCATTCTCTGGGTCCCGGGATGGGCACAGACGCTTGTGGACCCACTTGCAAAGGTACCAGAATGACTTAGGGCTAGGGATAATGTTAAAAGGAGGTGGTAGTGTACCCCCTTCATCAAAGTAACTCATCCAGAGCTTTGTGCGTGCAAACTTCCATTCTATGTCAGCATGGTCCTGGAGGGGAGAGAGGGGAAAGAAAAGAACAAAAGATAAGTAATCTTTTGGCCACAGCAAACTGCCATGAAGAACATCTGTGTCTTAAAAATACTTTTGGATCATAGGGGCCATATTAAGGCAAAGGTAGGCATAATGGTTGGATAGAGTAAAACTGTTTACTGTGTCTGGAACAGAGATAAAGATACAAATCCCTAATATCCAGATTTCTGCATCTTGAGTACCCTTCAGGTGGACTACAGTTCCAGTGCTCCCCATTAGTATGACCATTGTTCATGCCCTGAGATGTTCCTGTGCTGAAGGTGGACTTGAACCCATGCTCCCCAGTTCTAATCCAGCACCTTAATTGCTACATCGCTCTGACATTTTAATTTCTAATAGGAGTGAATATGTGTAGCTCAGAGTTTTGTGGCTGCAAAACAATACCCTAATCAAGGAACTACCAGAGGAAAAAAACAAAACAAAACCCCCACCCCCATCCCCACCAACACTGGCAGGGCGTGCCCCTGTATATAAACAGAGAGCAAACCCCATTCCACTCTAGCACTGAAGATGTGACCTAGCCGGGTAATGAAACGTTTGCAAGAAAACAGCCAAACTCAGAGAACCCCAAGGACTCCACACTTTAATTTCTCCTTGTTTCTCAGAGCCTGTTTCAGCCCCCCGCCCTCTTAGCATCCCACCACCCTGAACAGTATATGAAGAACTCCCAAAGTTTGTTGAAGCCATTTATTCTCCCCACCTAGCAGCTGCAGCCTAACTCAGTTCACAGCTATCCTTTCTCTGATAGAAGAGTATTTCTTCCATTCCTTTATCCAGCCAAGCGTAAAGAAAATGAACCCAAGGATTTTTCATTTTCACTGTTTTCCGATTGTCTGGCAGATACTGCAACTATTCTAAGAATTCTGTGGAATCTACACTAGTACAGACCCTGATTAGAATTATTTAATTAATTACATTTGCATTTCTTGGCAACAAGACAAAAATGGTTCACAATTGCCTTCTTCTTGGGTTGTTTTTCAACTTCTCCATCTAGCCTACTGCCTTGGAATATCTTAGTGGTCACCTATCCAAGGTCCACTTAGATATTCAAGATTAGCCTAGATCAGCCAGGGGCTGCAAAACGTACTCTTAATCCATCACTAAGCTCCCTATGCAGTTGGCCTGACTCAAAAGAGTTGTCACAAACTGTTTCATTCATTCAATACATCAGTGTCATATGCATCAAGGACAATGCTGTGGCTGGGTTCACATGTATACCCTCCACCCCCAGTGTTTACTCCAGCCAGATAAAAATGCAGCACACTATTTAGGGATCTTATGAATGAATGAAATTAAAATGGTGTGATCAATAGATAAAATCTATCAACGGTTAATGATAACAATGGTGGTGGTAACAAGAAGAATATTGTCCAGCAAGAACTTCGTCAAGTAAATATTCATCTCTCCTTTTGCAGCTGTATTCTTAAAGGAAGAACGTTGGAGATACTTGGAATATTTTTTAAAAATCTGCTGAGGGCTTTGCTATGTTGACAGTCTGGATAATATGCATTGGCTAATTAAAGCCTATATTCCTTTGTGCTCAGCAGATTCTGAGTTATTTGGGTTATGCATGAAATAGCTTTCATCTCTTAAAGCCCATGAAAGAATGTCAAGGAAAATGTGGGGCCTTTCAACATTTTCTGAAGTGGAGAAAGCACAATTTCTGTTTGGTTTTAATCTTTTTTTAAAAAAAACGCCTATTTATGCAAAGACACAAATACCCAGCTCTTTACTTTGGTTTGTGCAAATCCAGTTCAGATGTGTCCTGTTTATTTAGATTTTAATACCCAGGTAAGTCAGAACATCCTGCTGGGGAGTTGAAGAAGAGTGGGAACTCCAAGAAAAAAAAATGGCGATCCATACTTTGTGTGTGGGGGGTGTCATTTTACAGAAATAATTGCTGATGTTCTAAAAGCAGGAGGAGGAAAGAGATAGGTGTAAATGGCACATTTTTAATGGCAAATTTTTGTTCCTTCTTTTGCTGCTTAACAATTCCTTATGGCAAGATGGCAGCCAATTTGTACCCTTGAACATTCTTGTCTTCAGAAATGAAGTTACTGGCCAAATTTTGCAAGCTCCGTTGATTCTTCAGGCCCGACATCATTACATTCCTGATAAGCATCATCAGTAATAGCTGATGTAGATTATGTCGCATATAAATTATTTTTAGCTTTTCTTTTAGAAGTTGGCTACCTTCCCAGGCAAGTCTTTTTAATGATGTGTGTCCAATTTGGTGGAGAGGGGGGTCAAAAGAGAAAGGGGTGACCGAAAATGGAAGAGGGATGTGTATCTTATTCTGGGTAATTAATTCAGCAGCCAGGGCTAACATAAATTGTGCTTGTTGGGTCTGAATTAAGGATGAAGGCCAGCCCAGAGCTGGCAACACCATTGCCTCTTTCAAATGATTTTGTTTCCTTTGCAAGCTACGTGCACACACACATGCGCGCACATGCAAGACTCTTGATGGTTGCAGCTGGAAAAGGAAAAAATTTCTGTCCTGTCCTTGGTTGCTGAGGAACATCTCCTGGATCCCACAGCTTCATTCCATTTTAACCTGAAGAATGTCTAGACGTAATTCTCATTCAAGTTTTGCATGCTCCACAATTTCCCCCCGCTTAACCCATAAATGCCAAATAACACTGGTCTACTCCCCCCCCCAAAAAAATAGCTTCAGCAATGCGGGTTCCATTAAGTTACCGCTTCCTGACTGGTTTTGATATATTGTTGTAGTAATTCCCCTACACCCTTCTAATGCTTCCATCCCTCCTTTGAGATTCTCATTTTTAAAATATCTTTTATACCTTCCATATTTCACACAACACACACAATGTATAAGGCTGTTATATAGCTATGATATTTTTAGGTTTCTTCTTAATGACCGTGCCCCATCCTCTTTTGCTGGTCTCTGACCTTAATAGATTGATTTGACTTGATCTGTTATACTAATATGTAGAAGTTCATGAGCACATCCCTAAAAATGCCACACACTTTTTTTTAGCAATGTTTTATCAAAACGAATGGGAGCAACATCAAAGCAATATGAGAGCTGAGGGTCCCAGATCAGTTGAGCACATCTGGAGAGCTGCTATGAGTTTCACTAGCCTGGTGGTGCACAAAGTCTAGATGTTTAAGAAAAGGATAAGTCCCCATCACTGCTATCCCTATTGTCAGCCCCACTGAGTAAACCAGACCAGAAAATCAATGCCACAGGAAGGCTAAAATAACGTCTATTGAAAGTAGCTTTAATAACAGAATCTTGCAAGTCTGATTGTGCTGGACCTACTCCAGTGAATCAGGGCAGTGTCTGACTGAGTTTCTTCTGAATATGATCTTGTTTCTCAGAGCTTAAGAAATGTTTCAGCCCCTTTTGCAGAAGCAACAGTTCTTGCATATTTCCAGCAAGATCATCGTCCCTACTTTCTATACTACTTATTTGCTGGCTTTCTAGACACAATTGACGCCTACATCTCAGTAGAGGAAAACGAGATGTGTGGAGTGGTGCAACGTCTCTTCTCTCTCAAGGAACAAATGGGACAAGTCCAGCAACTGTTCAGCAGCCCTTTGCAAGAAAGTGGCATTTGGTCCTTCCTTGTAGCATCACTTGCTCTCATTCTCCAGCCTTCTGGTGAATGAGCAGACAGCAGCAGAGGGTTCAAGGAGGAGAAATAGGAAAGGAAGCTGGGCGAAGAGGACCATTGGAAGCAGAACAGCTTATTCTGTTACATTCACATTTTCATGGGTATTACTTGATTCATACTTTCTGAGGATATATATGAACTGAACTGCATCTGCCCTTTTCTGATGCTTGCTATGCTATTTTCTGGATCAAAATTTGCCTAGGAAAAAAACATCTGCTGGTAGAATTCCAAAAAGGACAAACTCAATTATGCAAAGGAAAACAGCACTCCAAAAGAGTGTCTGAGAAACAGAGCTGAGGACATTAAGGGAAATGTACCCAGAAATGCAAATCAATTTTCACAGCACTTGTTTTTATCATTGTAAGCTAATGAGAGACTGTTACAAAATATGGGAGGGGTGGGGTGAAGCAAAGCTGAGTAAAGCCAAACTGCAGTGATTCGTCCATCCTTACCTAGAAGCAGTGCCAAATACTAATAAAATGCTATTAATCATTTGTTGGCTTTGCAAGGAGAGAGAAAGAAAAGTTGCATATTTAATTATTCCTGAGACTTAAGCAAAACATAGCCAGAACGTAGCAGCTGGATCCATTTGAAAGCCCGGCCAACAGCTCATGAATATTAAAGCTGTAGTTCAAGTCCGCAGGTAAGTTATAATTAGGCCAAGGCTAGCAAAAAAGAAAATGGAGTTTTGCTGTCCCCAGGCATTCCTTATTTGCTTATTCTCGGAAACAATTAAACTTCCTTCCACTCCAGTGAGATTCTGTGCAAAAGTTGATTGAATGCAGTGGGTTGGGATAGAGTTTGACACATGCTAGAAGCTTTGGGTTGGTTGGGTTGGTTGGGGGTGGACGGTATCCTGCCCAAGCCAGATGCATTGAAGCTTCTGAGTTGCAATGAGCACCACGCAGAAAAATGCTCCTGCTTTTTTCTCCTATCAACCTTCTTTCATTTGATGGAAGAGCATTTATTTCTTTCTAGTCATTTTATTTGCTTTTGAAGGTTTGTTCAATGGAAAACAGCGTTTCTGTGAAATTCTCATGGGTGTAGCATGGAATGGTTCTCTCTCTATGGGCCTGCAGCTTCTTTGATTTCCCTGGCTTTTGCTAAACTCAGTCACAAGCAAATCTTTCACTCCGGAAACTATGAGCAGCCAGGGAGGTTTCAGAGAGAGTTAAAGAAAGGCCGGAGTAAGGAAGAACAGAAGTAATTTTGACTGCCACGTCAAACAAACTCATTCCCAAATCAAGAGGAACAGAAAGATATTTTGCTCCCTGAGCACAAGGTACAAGACAAAACACTTCTTTTGTAGGGGAGGAAGAT